TGAGTAGACACTATTGTCATCCCTATTTTACAGATAATGAAACTGAGGGCCTTAGAAGTTAACTAGGCTAAGTTTCCACAAGTTACTGAAGGATCATTTATTATGTAGGTACTTTTATATATTATATAATATATAAGTACTTTCCCCAAGCTATTTAGCTATGAGATTTTTAAGAGTGAAAAAAAAATTTTTTTTTTTGTGGGACCCTCGCCGGGGGCCGAGGAACTGTGTGCCACCAGGGGAGACCCAAAAGTGAAGACATTTTATGTGCAGAAAAATTACAACAGCAATGGCTTCTCAGTGACGAAGCAAATGCTGGATGGATTCTGGTGCTGCATGTAATTTTTAATTAGTGACTGAAAATAATTTCTCAGCATTGTTAAAGCTCAGAAATGGTGGAATAGCTTTAATCCTTACATATAAATAAATTCACCTTGGGTGAACAACACACAAAAATTTAATGATACTATTTAAAATGAACAATAGGCTTTTGTTAAAGTGTTTAAATGTGGCAGGTACTAAAGAGGTCAGCTGGCAACTGCAGGATTTCGGAAAGCTTCTGACTAGGAACAAAGTGATGCTGGCAGAGTCACCTCTACTGTTCAGACTCGGAAGTTTTAGGACATCCTATGTTCACTCCATAAACAAAAATATCCCCAGGAAAAAAAGGAAAGAAAATGTTTCTCCTTCCCTCCTCAAATGGTACATTTTCTTGGCTATTGTTCCACAAATATGTACATTGAAATAGACCCCAAAATATTTCAAGTTAGACTCACCAAAATTCTCTATAAGGAAGATGATTTAAAGGCATTCATAGGAAAATGACACATCTAAAGCATGTTAGAGCTTAGTGGCATCACCCTTAAGAAGAATGTTTATAAATGTCATATTCAGATCTTGACCTTAACTTTTGAAAAATCTAACTGATTGCTCTATGTCCACATTATTTAAGATTTGAGAAGTTTTATATTCATCTCTGACTCATCCATGGTCTTCATTACTTTTCCTTACTTTCACTATGTTTAAATATCATAATATTTGAGCTATATTTTTTTTAATTCAGGGAAATTCCAGGTGTTTCCAGAGACTCTGATAAACTCATTCAGAAAATTTTTTAATTCCTGCAATCAAGTATATATAACCTAAACTTAACATGTTGTCATATAACATAGTTCAAAACATAAGAAATGGTAACCAGATAATTTCCTACCAGTCAAGGATATTTTCCAGTTTTTAAAATATGAGAGAAAAATGGAGAGATATGGGGAAAATCTGGGATGTTCTCCTTTGAAATAAAATAGAAATAGGTGGTAGAAGAGAGATCACTTTTGAAATTAAAAAAAGAAAAATTAAAAGATAATAAGAAAATTATCCTTCATTTAAAAAAGATATATAACTATTCAGATTAAAATTCCACCAAACTGGTCTTGGATACTACAGGGTTATATTCTGCCACCCCAAGGAAAGAGAAAAATGTAGTAAAGGCAGGAAGAGATGTAGAAAGGGCAGGAAGAGAGATGTTAAATAATACAAGTATGACATGACCAAAACTTACTAGAATATGGTGCTGTCAGCACAAATCACAAAGTGAAAAGAAAAGTGTCTCTCCAATCACCTCTGGATGAATAAAAATGACATTAGGAGGACCTCTACTAGGAAACCCATAGAGCTGCTTTTTTTTTATTTAAATTTTATTTTTATATTCCCCATACAATTACAACCCCCTTATTTTGAACCCAAGCCCTCTTTTCCCTGCCCCCCACCCCCCACAGAGTGTCTCTGGTTCACAGTTATTTGTTCATTTTGATATTTTCTTTCTTATAGTTATTCTTTTTCCCTGGTCCCTTATTTAAGTTTTCTAGATTCCTGCTACGAGTGAGACCATCCGGTATTTTTCTTTTTCTTTCTGGATTATTTCACTGAGCATGATCCCTTCCAGCTCCATCCATGTTGCTGCAAATGGCATGTGTTTATCTTTTTTGAATGCTGAGTAATATTCCATGGTGTATATGTACCACATCTTCTTGATCCAGTCATCTATACAGACTGGGAGAACATTTTTGCACACAACACTAATGATAAAGGACTGATCACAACAATCTACAAAGAGCTGATGAGATTCAACAAAAACAAAGAAAATAATCCAGTCAAAAATGGGCAGAAGAGCTAAAAAGAAACTTCTCCAAAGAGGAAATACAAATGGCCAACAGGCATATGAAAAAATGTTCAACATCACTTGTAATCAGGGAAATGCAAATCAAAACTACAGTGAGATACCATCTTACACCAGTGAGAATGGCACATATTAAAAAAACTAGCAACAACAAATGTTGGTGAGGTTGTGGAGAAAAAGGAACTCTCCTGCATTGCTGGTGGGAGTGCAAACTGGTCCAACCACTATGGAGAGCTGTGTAGAGATTTCTGGACCTACTAAACATAGAGCTTCCATATGATCCAGCAATTCCACTCCTAGGTATTTACCCAAAGGACACAGAAACATCAATTCCAAAGAACACCTGGGCCCCTATGTTTATAGCAGCACTATTTACAATAGCTAAGCTTTGGAAACAACCCATACAGCTGCTTTTTTTCTTACCTTCTTATTGAAGTATAAACACACAGAAAAGAGCACAAATCAAATATGCATACTATTGCATTTTCACAAAGTGATCACACCAGAGTAACTGCCACCCACGTCAAGAAATACAAGGAGCACTTGCTGAATGAAGTCTTTTCACTCAGCTTTGTGCCTTTCCCAGTCATCACTCCTTCCTTCCTTCCTGAAGATCACCCTCGCTCTCAGAATTAATACTGGAGATAATTTGTTCTGCTTGTTTTTGAACTCTATATAGATGCAAATGCTTGGCATTTATTTTTATGTATTCTGTCGTGTCAATTTTTTTTGTTTCAATAATAAAAGGGATGGTTTTTTTGATTTCTTCTTCTTCAGATTTATTGTTTGTATATAGGAAGGCTACTGACTTTTGTGTGTTGATTTTGTATCCTGCCACTTTACTGAACTGATTGATGAGTTGAATTAGTTTTTCTGTGGACTTTTTGGGGTTCTCTATGTATATTATCATATCATCTGCAAATAGTGATAGTTTGACTTCTTCTTTTCCTATTTGGATTCCTTGGATGTCTTTCTCTTGTCTTATTGCTCTGGCTAGGACTTCCAGTATTATATTGAAAAGCAGTGGTGAGAGTGGACATCCTTGTCTTGTTGCAGATCTTAATGGAATTGCTTTCAGCTTTTCACCATTGAGAATGATACCATGAGATACCATCTTACACCAGTGAGAATGGCACATATTAAAAAAACTAGCAACAACAAATGTTGGCCAGGGTGTGGAGAAAAAGGAACTCTTCTGCACTGTTGGTGGGAGTGCAAACTGGTCCAACCACTATGGAGAGCTGTGTGGAGATTTCTGGACCTACTAAACATAGAGCTTCCATATGATCCAGCAATTCCACTCCTAGGTATTTACCCAAAGGACACAGAAACATCCATTCCAAAGAACACCTGCACCCCTATGTTTATAGCAGCACTGTTTACAATAGCTAAGCTTTGGAAACAGCCCAAATGCCCAAAAATAGATGACTGGATCAAGAAGATGTGGTACATATATACCATGGAATATTACTCAGCATTCAAAAAAGATAAACACATGCAATTTGCAGCAACATGGATGGAGCTGGAAGGGATCATGCTCAGCGAAATAAGCCAAAAAGAAAAAGAAAAATACCGGATGGTCTCACTCATAGCAGGAATCTAGAAAACTTAAATAAGGGACCAGGAAAATGAATAACTATAAGAAAGTGAAAATCAAAATCAACAAAAAACTATGAACCAGAGACACTTTTAGGGGGGCGGGGGCGGGAGGGGAGGGATTGGGGTCAGAATGGGGGGGCTGCAATTGTATGGGGAATATAAAAATAAAATTTATTATTTAAAAAAAAAAAAAGTAGATTTCCTGCATAGCTTCACCAATACTTTACATTGTCAGTCTTTTTAGTATTTCCCATCCTGGTGACTACACAATGGTATCTTATTGCATTTTATGTGCAGTTCTCTGATCATGTGAGTGCAGAACTGTTTTCTATACTGTAGCTTCTCTTTTCACACATTTAATGATGTGTTTTGATGAACAATTTGTTTCTTCTCTTTTAAGGTTAACGCTTTCTAAGGCTCATTTTAAGAAACATTTTTTTTCCTATCTCAAAGTCATGAAGCCCGTATTACATGCTCTGCTCTGCATCAAAATGAAATGAATATCAATTTTAAGAAAACTTCCTTTGCTCAAACTGCTGTATAATAGAAAATACTATTATACAATCAAAACCATTTTTCTTTTACCTATTTGAGGTTTTTGTTTTTAATTATTGGAAAAGATAATTAAATACTAGTGAATTTCCGTAGACTTATGTAGGTAAAACATCAGCAAAACATCTAGTGTTCACTTGTTTAAGATTTTTGTCTGAAACTATTTATTGTGAGCATAAGGAAAACAAGGTCAAATTAGACCCTATGAAAGTGACCACAGTCTGGAGGCATAGAGGTGAGTTGAGGGAGTAAGAAGGAAGAGCGCACTCATTTCATAAAGATTCCTTTTTCACCTCACTGCCAATGCTACATTCTAATGTTAATTTTCCTATCATTATATCCCAGAATCCCTTTACTTCTCAAGTCTTACCATAAATGTGTGTCTAATTTATGGATTTCTGACACTGGTTGTTAAGAAATAGTAAGAACCAGTAAATAAGAGGGAAATAAAATAAAGCTGTGATAATAATCCATATAAGAAAACCTGAAAACCACATAAACAATAAAAATGACACAACCCTATACTAATGGTAAAGAGCATGATTAAGAGTGGTTTCAGACCCAGAGGTATCGGATCATGAAACTGGAATAAAGATTAAAAGAGATAACAAAAAAAATGCCTGGTATAAGGTATTCAGGCAAACTTTCCCTTCACATGACAGTACTAGTTACATACCTAGCAGGCAAGCAGAGCTTTAACGTGGTCACATGTACTGTGTTAATAGCTGAGAAATCTTTCATGTTCTTCCGATAGAGACAGACCAAAATGATAGCTTTCAATTCTGATCCTTTAGATTTAAGAGTAGCTGCAGGAGAAAAGATACATGCATAAGTTTAGAAAAATGATAACTCTGCTAAGAAAATTATTAATGATATCTTGATGAGACTTCACACAAAATATATTCCATAAATATTGTATATATTCTCAATAATGGATTAGTATGATTGTAGCATTTGGTGATGGAATAGTGCAAGGGTTTGCAAAATTATTTCTGTAAAGGACCACAAAGTAAATATTTTAGACTTTGCTGGCAAATTGAAGTTATTATATAGAATATAACAAAATATAGAAAATCTAACAAAATAAAAAAATTATATTAGAAAAATTCAAAATAAAATACTAGCAATTGTGAACATTAAAAATTACATCTACTAAATGAGAAGAACAAGGTTGTCTCTCTTTTTTTCTTTTGGGATAACATTTCACTTAATGAAGGTTCAAAGCTATGGTTGTACATGTTAACTTGCAAAATTATTCTTAGCTTGTGGGTGGTATGAAAATGGTAGCAAGGTGACATTGATTTGTTGGCTTTGTTTACTGACTTCTGTACTAATGGGCTCTAATGGCCTTTCATAAAAAAGAAGCATGACTTTAAACTTCATGAAAATTTTTATGAAACCAATTAATTGCAACTCACCAAGGCTTTCTTTTTTTAAAATAAACTTCATGTAAATAATATTAAATGTGATTATATTTTAAGATATTACCTTGTAGAAAAAGCAAATAACTGGTTATTATTTCAGAATTAACACTCCCAGTGAGTACACTCAATGATTTTAAGATCTTATTCCTGAGTGAACAATAGCCAGACAAAGGAAAGAAATTACTATCCAAGTCAGTCAAAACAAATTGACCTTAACTTTAAGATATGTAAAATAGATCTCTTGTCAAATTATAAAAAAAAAAGTAACATTGATTTATAACATAGGTTTCAGATGGACATTATATTTCCATATCTGTATATACTACATTATGATCACCACCAAAAGTTTAGCTTCCTGGTCTTATTTTTGGCCTCTGAAATTGCTTATGTTCTTAACATAAGAGATGAGATTTGGATCCTTTCCAGTTAGAGTCCCTTTAGATAACAGATTTTTAAATATATTTTTTAAAGATTTATTTACTTATTTATATAAGAACCAGGGTACAGGCCAGATCTACCAGAGGGTGAGAGGATTCACCAGAGACAGAGTGGAAAACAGAACAGGCAGACTGACAAAATACACTGCTGAGGGGAGCAGCAGGCACGACAGGAGAGGTCTGCCGTGCCATGTGGGACCCTCGCTGGCCAGCCAGGATCAAATCAGCGCTGCAGAGGTTGCAGACAGCTTCACAGCGCTGCGCTCAACCGCCTGCACCACCAGGGGAGGCCCGATTTTTAAATATTAAAAAAGTATGATAAATATCATTTTATTGAATGTTGCTGATTGTTTTCATATATTGTTACCCCTTATTTTTTCAAAGCTCCAGAAATAATAAAATAATATTCCAGGAACTGATAACCAAAGAATTTAATATGATAAAGAAGTTAAGAAGCTAGAATTACATCTAATGACACCTACCATTACTAATATAACAGAAAAGGTCATTTAAACTCTTGGGGTGAACTTTATCCTGGAATGATCATTGACAATAAATTCAATTGCTAAGGAAGGGAAAATATCTCTCTTTAAAGATGTTTCCATTAGAACTGAGAATTACAGATGCAGAATGTTTAGAAAACAACTGAGCAGCTAATCATCACTAAAGCAGATTAAAGGAACTGAATACTTTATAAATTCTGAATGGAAGAAAATAGCTAGAAAGTAAAATATTAATTTATAAAAATTTGCATTTGAAGATTAAGTTGTTTTCTATATTAACACTATTTCATTCTTACAAAATGAAAAATTAAGTCAGATATAATAACCAATTTGCTTCATGTGCCAACAAACAGCCATTCAATATTCATTGAGCGGTCAACATTCTTAAAGTACTAAGAAAATGAATTAAATTTATTTTAAAGGGTTATAATTTAGCATGCAACTTAATAATTAAAAATGAACCAAAGTCTAAAAGTTTAGAGGGGAAATCCTGAAGCAAATTTTACAGATTTAGTCTTAAAATGAAAAGAAAAAATTCTCATTTATGAAGAACTTTTTGAGGCAAAAATTATGGAACATTTGACTATTGGAAAGATTTCTGCCTTTCAACTTTGCATATTTCAGGGAAAAAAGAATCTGCTCCTTTTTTACATTCAAGTATAGTTCTGCTGAAGAGAGATCTGACCCAGATGAGCTCTTGGTATTCTTCCTTTTTGATAATCTTTTGATATACATGACATCCAACAACATGCATACCTAGGAGTCAGAGGAGCCACTAACAAAGTAAAGGATTTGAAGATCCCATGCCAGAACCCTCCACAACTTCTAGTCAAGAAGTACAGAGTAATAGAAACTTTTTGTATCAAATCTGTCATTTAAATAGTGTCTAACATCTAAAGAGAGATGGAGAATTGGAGCACATATATTATGCAAAATCTCTTCACTTTTGGAAACTAGGGTTCCCAATCCAAAACTACACTCTCAGGGGTATATACTGCTCCATTTGCTAGCAACATCTGGCTGGTTTGCTTGTCTACTAGTTATACTTGGGATTGAGTTGCTTCCACTCCTGATGTTCGGCGTACTACCCAGCACTGTCCATGTACTACCATGCTGGGAACACTAAGTGTCCTGCTTACATGCAACCCCAAACAGTGGTGGATAAGAGATGGGTTGAAAGGCCCATTGTTATCTACAGCTTCCTAGAAGTTGAAGGTTATCTGTTACTGTAGACAATCTCCTTTCTCTGAACAAGTCTATCCTAGGTAAATGTACCAAGAAATGCTACTATGGAAACATCAAGATACTCTATGCATTTTTATTCTTTGGAGTTTATCCTTTCCATTATTCCACTTAACTATTTAGGTTCATGACACTTTAATACCAAGAATTTTAAGCTGGGCCTCCCTGGTGGTGCAAGGGGCTAAGACGCAGCACTATGAAGCAATCTACAGCCACTGCAGCATGAGTTCGATCCCCAGCCAGGGAGGTGACCCACATGGCGCAGCAGACCTCTGTGTCTCGCCCGCTACTCCCCTCAGCGGTGTATTTCAGTCAATCGCCTTTTCTGTTCCCCACTCTGTCTCTGGTGAATCCTCTCACCGCCCCCACACCTCTGGCCTGAACCCCAGTTCTTGTATGCATAAATAAATAAATCTTAAAAAAAACCTCATTGAAAATACCAGTGGTCTCTACATTTAAAAAAAAATTTAAACTGAGGGATTTCTACTTATAAATATAATCTTTATCCTAGAAATTAATTCATAAGAAAACATTTATTTATTTATGCACATGTAAAATGATTTGGGACAGTAAATTGTGAGAATTTACCTTGCCAGCCAATTTCTCAGAATAGGTTATGATATTAACATTATAATCAACAGATCATTGACCATGACTCACAAAGTGCTTGGTCTCTTGAGTTTAGAAGACTATACTTACACTTGTCAATACTTTTTAAAAAAAATTGGATTATGGATATTTGAACTTTTAAAAATATTATATTCTTGATAATATTTTTGCATATCCTCATTGTATCATAAACTTGAATAGCAATTTAAAAGCTATACCTCATTTGTCATATTTGTAAAATTAAAAGATATTAATAATATTATTCTGGGCAAGTTTAGGTAAGTATATGAGGAAGCTGTAACTGTCATCACATTTTAGAAGGCATATAAATTTGGTCAACTTTTATGAACTGTAATTTAACAAAATGTTCATAGTCCATATTTAGAATGTAAAAGACAAAACAATACAGCTTTTGGATGATAAGATGGTTTAGGTAGATTTCCAAAACAATACAATTCATTTCAAAATAGAACACGAACAGACTTTGTCCTTGATGATCTAGGGGATAAAAATTCTCTAAGAATTAAACAATTCTCCTTTAAAATAATCCAAGTCCCATTGCAAGTAAATATTTGGAAAAGTATTATCTGGCAAGAGAATATTTCATTACTTAACAGAAATGAGATAAGGAATGATCAGTGTTTGTGGCATTAACTAGGGAAATTGGTATTTGCTTCAGATTTTCTCCCTGCCCTAAGCCCTTTCCAAGTGGCCAAAGTGAGTAACATCCATTCATGAGCCGACCACCCTGTCTGCCAGTGACTCAGATATGAGAAGCTGTTTTCCATTCAGGCAGATGAGATCAGAAGTGTTCACCTGGTGTTCACACCTACTGTTCAAGAATCTGACATAAATCAGTCATTCCACTATGTAAGTAACACTAAGATTACAATTTCCCACACATATTTCAGTCTCTTCAAACCCTAGTGTTCTTTCTGTTTTGCCTAACTCCACCTTTCACTTCTTATTATTTCCAGCTCTGATTTCTCAGGTTGCATCCTGTCTTTCCTTTTTCCTTCCAAGTTCTGTTGAATTTCAAAGATTTAAAAAAAATTGACATTCTCACATTGTAGATATCTCTCCTACTATATGAACTCCCCTCTGACTAAGAAATAATTGTCAAAGAGAGTGGAAAAGAATGAAGGTCAAGACCATGGGATTCTAGGGCATATACCTTCAGAGGAGGAGTCAAGGTCCTGGAGTGTTCTTTTCTGCAATGAAGACTAAGGAAAGAACATAGGCTTTGACTTACAAACATCTCAGCATTGTTTTCCAATCCTTTCTTTCCATTTCTGATCAATTTCCATGACTATTCTCGATCCTTGGTATTAGTATTCTTTTCATTCCATAGTGAGAAAATCCCCACTCTCCCACTACCTTTAGACAGATTTTGTTAAAGGGACATGATAAGGACCACAGTAGAGTAAGATCATGGAACTCTAAGGAAGACTTCCTCAAGAGTGAATATTTAATACATCTGAATAGGTGTGAATCTACACCCCCTAAATCATATACAGTATTGCAAGCCAATGTAACTTCACACAAAATAATACAATTTACAAAATCAAAGAAACAAGCAAATAAAAACAAT